TCGGAGTTGGGTACATTTGATTTTATTCAAATATTTACATTAACAAACATCTCTTCGAATGCTACCCAACTCTTACCAATTTTTGGTAAACAAGTGCATGGAAATGGGTAGCTTAGGTTCCTAAAAGAAATAAAGTCTGCAAACCTGCATTTTCACAGTATATTTTGCAAAAATTACAATATGCAGAGCGATATATATATATATACATATATTTTTGTTTAGACGATTTTTATTAACAGGAAAACGTTACTCGATCGTTAATTGTTAAGCAGTGTACATACGAGAATCTAGTTAAAATAGAATTATTAAATCGTATTGCTCCATTTGTTACAAAAATTGATTGTCAGCGACTCGTAACAAGTTGTAAACGTAGAGTCCACATATGATCGACAACTCAAAAAAACAAAAGACGATAAGATTTAACACGTTTTTTTCTATGGAGACGAAAGGGACATAAATATGGGTAATTTTTATAAATAAGCTTCCGAGTTTTGTAACGCAGCACTGTGCGAGAGTTAACAGTCAGACCAAAGATTTTATACTTTGCGTTGTGAGGTGTATGAGTAGGTATTCGATAGCTCTTACAGTCAGGTTCGTGGTTGTAAATAAATGCATCGTTTGTCATTGTGTTTGTACTTGTGTTATTGTTCACTGATAACGTGGTGTACAGAGTGTTGCAATTCACTCGGTCGTTGAAAAATTAAACGACTTTTAATTGCCAGAAGAATATCTTTGAAGCTCGCAGCTATGAAGTTCATCGTGAAGTGATGAAATCTTAGATTCCAAACTAGTCAGACAAATTATTCTTAAAGATTTCCTTTCAACGTTCAAAATTGTGGAAGACACTTCGCGTGACCGGGCAATTTGAGACACCCTGTATACATCCGATAAAACGAATCGTGTCTTGAGCAGTATTCATCCTTTCTTCATCGTTTGCGTTGAACCGTTCTTTCTTCCGTTCTATTCTTTCCAAAAAAACAAAAAAAAAAGAACGACACGCTTATCCACGAGAGAGTGAGAGAGGGTGCAGCGAGAGAGCAAACTGTAACTAGTCGGATCGAACGTTGTTAACAAAGTAAAAGTATAAAGGGGACAAAAAGAAAAGAAGGGGGAAAGGAAAGTTGTATGCTTAGCGAATGAAGAATGTCGGGTCGAATTTGAAAGCGTTGTAATTGCTAATGGGAATAAAAGGATAATTTATTTTAGCGAGGCTTTTTCTATTTTTCCGCACCCTTGAACGCCTCTCCTTGCTTCGTCCGGAAATCATTAGGATTAATTAGGATTGCAGTCTCGTCTATTAGCGTAGAAGTTCATAATACAGTTTACAATATTAGGCTATATTATTTCAAGCTGAATAGCTCGAGTACTCGAGTAATACGTGCTAACGAAACAATACGTCTAATTCGATTCGTGATCGTCTGTATCGTTATCATTTGTAATCGAGATGAAATTCTTTGGAATAACTACACAAGAGAAAGAACGTTCAGATCATCGACGGTGATCGAGACACCCACGTTCTATGTTAATATTAATTACGTTCATTACAGTTTCGTTACTAGTTACTAATATTAATTACAGTTTTATTGTTAACCATTAATAGTCATTTATAATATTAATTACAATTTTACTATTAATCACTAATATTAAATATTTGATAATGTACACGTGTATCCATATGTTCTATGAATATATCTGTTGAGACACGAATCACAAATGATAGTGCCTAATCGGGATTTTCAGGATCCACTAATCCGGTAAGGCACCTCGACGACGATCCGATCTTGAAATGAGAGGTCGGTCTTAGATGAAATCTTGTGGGCATATCACCAACTCGGTCGGATTGTTCTGTCTCTGTTCCTGAGTGTGGTACCGGCGTGCGGCAGCATCGTATCCTCTGTATATTTTGTACTTTTTTGAGAAATAAAATGCATCCCGAAACATGTCTGACGCTTATTATACAAGGTGCACTTCGTTGCGCGTGAACGAGGTATGAAAATAAAATGATCTACGGCAGGGTACACTTTTCTTCTATTCAATAGTATTACCGAGCAACCAGACTGATTAATTGATACGTTAATTAAGGAGTCGAAATCACTGTATTTGCTGCAATATATTCTGATAACGAGTAATGACACTCATTACAGTATCCTTTCCCTATGATCACGTTAATAGAAACTAAGCCAATCGTGCGATTGGCAAGACGTGTTCACTGCTCTCTATAATCGCGTAACGTGACTGTAACGAGGGAATACTGTATATATTGTATATTAATGTAATTTTATGAAACATACACCAGCGTTCACATGTTTGGAGAATTTTTCAATGTTTAACCCTTTGCCTTATGATTTCTCTTTTAACCGTGATCGATGGAACCACTTTGTCACCGATGATTTATTGAATGAATCAGACAATTCTGGGCACATTCTATACGTACGTTCATCATAAAGTATAATAATAATTGATAAGAGTAATATTTAATTTGAATCTGAAAAGACTCGAGTAATATCTGTTTCCTCAATTCTGTTTGAAATCATCACCACGAGTCTCGATGTTACGGGGCAAGGGGTTAATGAACTTTCGACCTGAAAAGTATTCGCAATTCGATCATCGATTGCAATCGTTTATGCAGAGTCACAGTATTCGTTGAAGTCCTAGAAGCTAGATTTTATTATATTCCATCGTTGTCTGTGTCTTATTGTTTCGCAACTGTGTGAATATGAAATTTCTCTTTCGCGTGTGTCGTTTAAACAACGAATGATTGTACATTTATAGCGTATACCATGTATAGCGAAGTGTTCAATAAAATCTAACGAGGCCTTCTAGCTTATTTAAAACCTGACGCAGCCCTTCAGCGGAACAAAAACGTCTTTCCTTTAATTAGTCCACGGATACACGGACCAGTAGCGTTCCAAGCAAAATGAACATTTATTCCGTCACGAAGTAATTAAACCTAGGAATCGGTGAGGATCAATAACACCGCAGGCTCAATTACTTTTACGATTCATTTTATTTTTACTGTTTTTTTGTGTCGTTTATTGTTGTCCCTTTTAATGAATACATCGTAATACCATTTATACTTGTGTTCCTACCTTAGCGTTCGCAAGTATTTAAAATATGCTTAGACCGTAACAGTTTGAACGTGGTTTTTGTTTTAAGATTCTTGACATTGTCATTGCATTGCATCATTTGTTTATCCTTTTCCCCGTAATTAATTTATCGGCGCTCGTCGGTCGCTCGTCCCGTCTCGCAACCTCAACGCTTCCGCCGAGCGTTACGACTAAATTGGTTCCGTATGAACTAATCTTTTCATCTTTGCGTTTCGCGTATATATATGTACAATCGTACTCTTAAATAATATATATATATACACACACCTTGCCTTACAATTATCGTTTGAAAACGGTTAATCGGATGTTCGTATCCGCGCCGTTCCGGCCAGCCAATTATCGCCGCGAACGAAAGAGGAATTTAACGGCCGTGGATTCTTAAACGTTTAACATCGAAATTTTACACTTACTTTTCCGTTTCATGTAACGATCGCAAAATTCAACGAAACGAATTCGATCACCGGCCATTGAGCGATGGATACCGGGCTCATTTGCATCCAAAGTCTGGCGGGATCTCGAACTACGAACCTTTAGAAAATCAACGTTCCTCTATTCGAGTACACAGGATGATTCTAAGTCAGCGTCGACTTCGTATCGCAACAATCGGTTGTGACAGATGATCGACGATTCAGCTTCTCCGTTGGTTTAGGGACGCGAAAGGTCCGCGAATGTCACTGTAGAATCATCTTGCATAAACGTATTTTCACATCGGAGAACACTAGACACTGGTTAACGAACAAATTATGCTGACAAGATCGAACATACACGGTCTTTTAGTGACTATCGCTACAAATCAAGTGTCTACGTATAGAGTACAGTGGGATATGTGTATCGTTTGTGCTTACAGTCACGAGTCTACGAAAACAATTTACAAGTTCTTCCCGTTCACCTATGTACAACAGACACTACGGAACAATTATCGTTCGTCCATACAAATTTCAACGGTTAAAATTAGAGCGGTTATAGTTCTCTTTTTCTTTTTTTCTTCATTTTACGAGAGAAACGTCTCGAAACGCGCAACGGGCTGCGACGCTTCGGTTCTACGTGTAGCAATTCCTATAGTCTGCAGAGAGGATTCGAAAAGAAGGAAAAAGGTTTTCCTAATAGTCCTACTGGATCAAGTGTTTAGTCACACCTCGAAATCGTTTAAGCGAGTTTAGAGTATCGGTTACGTGTACGTTTTCAACTTTCCTCTTGAGGTCTCTTACGTTTCGAATATCGTTAAATATTTACAGAGAATCGTAGTTTATGTACAGGGAAGTCGCGCGATAGGATTATCGTTCGTCTGAAGTTTCCTTTCTCGTCTCTTCTTTCTTTTCTTTTTCTTCTTTTTTTTTTACAAAAATTACAA